AAAGACCCACGGACGACCGCTGCGCTGGCGCCGGCGCCCCCGCCAGGGGAAGCAGCTCCTGCGCCAGCACCACCTCGTGGAGCCTGGTGCTTAGAGTGGATCTCAGTGGCGTCGACGAAAGCGAGGAGTGTGTGGGTGGCGACTCAGTGTGTAGGGCTGGTAGACAAATATGCGGACGGCAAGGAGGGGCCTGGCGTGAAGAAGAGACAGACAGACAGACAGACAGACAGACAGACAGAGCTTCTGTTTGCAGGCAGCACGGAGAGGAACGAATGGCCGCCCCGGCGGGCCGCAGACGGAGGGTGTGCAGGTGACCTCGCCTCCCGCAGCTGCAAGGGGAGAGTCCAGGGCCGCTGTCAGACTGCCCTGGTGGCCCGGTGTCACCGGGTGGGGGGGGGGGTGGAGTAGCCATGCCAGCGGCAGCCGGATTAGCCCCCGGGAGGCCCACTGAGCTGCCGTGCTTCAGGCCGCAGGTCCTCCCGGGGTGAGGACCGGGCCAGGCCGCAGGTGTCCCCCGGAGGCCCCCGGGTGAGGACCGGGCCAGGCCGCAGGTGTCCCCGGAGGGTCCCGGGCCTGCAGATCACGCAGAGCTGCGCTCTGCCCAGCAGGAGGGGCCTCCGGGGGGTGGGGGAGAGGGTGGACCGGCCTGGGGCGTCAGCTCACTGGAAGCGCCTTCCCCTGCCCCCGCCTGCGCAGGGGAGGGGCCCTGGGATACGCTGTAGTTCATCCTTTGCGCTCTCTGGCTGCACCTAGATCAAGACGTGTGCTCAGGAGGAGTCAAGGCGCCTGTTCTCACAGGCTGCGCCCACAGGAGCTTTGCCTCTCCCCTGGGGTGGGGCCTGGCCCACGATCAACACCAGAACCCAGGGCTCCGGGAGCCGCCAGGGAAGCCATCCGTGCTGGAACAGTCTTCTGTGATACCGTTCGTTAATTTTATAATCTTACGCTTACATGGAATATGCTTATATGAAATCTGCAACATAATTATACTTACATGGAACAGTGGTTAGGAAAATGGGCTTTGGCGCCAGGCAGCTCGAGGTTCCAGTTCTGTTTTATCACTTAACTCTGTAATCTTTATGATGCTGTTTAATTTCCTATAAAAATGGCAAAACACCTCACAATGCCTTCGAGAGGTCACCGAGTCCAGTTTCCAGAAGTGTGGAGTGGCTTGCTCATCTACCCAGAGATACATGATTTATTTTTAATTTTTTTCAATGTTTATTTATTTTTGAGAGAGAAAGACAGACAGAGCACGAGCGGGGGAGGGACAGAGAGAAAGGGAGACACAGAATCGGAAGCAGGCTCCAGGCTCCGAGCTGTCAGCACAGAGCCCGATGGGGGGCTTGAACCCATGAACTGTGAGATCATGACCTGAGCTGAAGTCAGACACTTAACCGACTGAGCCACCCAGGTGCCCTGTATTTTTAATTTTTAAAATTTATTTAGTTTTAGTGGCTTGAGACTTGTGAGTATAGCAGGAAGAGGACATTCACCATATAAGCACAGGTGATAACATTCAGCAAGTACCTTGAGTTACCATATTTTCCTTGTTCAAGTTATATGAGAATGTGATGGGGCCACTTGAAAAAATAATAAATCCAAAGAGTAGTGTTTCATGGAAGGCAGAGTAATCACAATTTTGTGGGTTAAAAATACATTGCAATCCATAAGACCATCTTTGTAGGGTTGTATATTCTTTTTATTTTTTTTTAACACTGTCTTCGTCCAAGTTATACAATGTGATTTGATATATGTGTGGTTGTGGAATGAGCCCCACAGTAAGTTTAGCTACAATTCATCATCTCACAAAGTTAATAGTTTTTTCCTTGTGATGAGAACTTTTATATCTACTCTCAGCAACTTGCAGATCTCCAATACAGTATTATTAACTCTGGTCACCGTGCCATGTGTTACAGCCTGGAAGCTGTTCCTGTGATGACCAGCACCTTCACCCTTTTCTCACCCCCACAGCATCACACATGATGCCACAACGACACTATACCACGTCTAGAGTCACAGATGGTTCTCAAAACTCAGCAGGGCCTTACGATGAGCTCCAAACTCTCCTTCACTCTGGGTTCTTATGATCCCAAAGCATGAGATCACCCAGAGGAGAGGAACCAAGAGTGAGGCTCTAAGTACCTGGTCAATGGTGGGTCACATTTCTGTTCAGACTCTTAGCAATAAGGGCAAGAGGTGCCTGATGAAAGGAAGAGGTGGGCATAAGTTTAATGTCACTCTACAAAATTAAGTCTAAAGCTGATGGACACCTGTGATGAAAAGCCCAGAATTAGGCTCAGGGATGACTAATCTCTACTTTGGATGTGGAGACCCGCATGTGAGTCCAGGCTCTGTCCTCTGCTATCTCTCTCTCTCTCTCTCTCTCTCTTTAATGTTTATTTATTTTTGAGAGATAGAGAGTGCACAAGCAGGAGAGGGGCAGAGAGAGAAAATCTCAAGCAGGCTCCACACTGCCAGCACAGAGCCTGACATGGAGCTCAGTCTCATGAACCATGAGATCATGGTGCCGAAATCGAGTCAGACCCCTAACTGACTCAGTCACCCAGGTGCCCCTGTCCTCTGCTGTTTATGCCATGCTGCTTAACTCCTATGAGCCTTGATTTTTCCATTAGGAAATCTGAGGATAATATATGTTTGACCAGCTCACAGGATTGGCATGGTTTATACTGATTACATTGTGTTAGCACAATCCAACCAGAGTGTATAAACTCTTCTGGAATGGAAATTAAACACTAACAACGCAAGAGGAATTGCTATGAAAGTAGTGTCCTTGAAGAAGAAGCAAGCTGTGAAGCAACCTAATACTGCCTTAATAATGTGAGAGAGGAAGTAAGCCTGCTTTAGCTGGAAGGTGAAGACAGCCTCTTGAGAGAATGAGGAAAGGCCACTTCCACTTAAGGAAACAGGTTGAGTTTGGGTTCACAATGTAATGATTTCAAGACACCGTAAACACTGAGACCGTGTTCTGGCAGGATCACGCAGATTCTTGAGTGCCTTCCAGGTACCCAAGTGGGTCGCTCTCCCAGCACAGGACAGTGAGTCCAAAGGGTACGGAAGAGGGCCTCCACGTCCTGGTAGAAAGCCCACTGGGAGTGCGTGGCCCGCCTGCTTGTTACAACACGCATCACCCCTCTCCCCCCGCCCCCTGCTGAATCCGGCACCTGTAACTGTACACTAGCTACAACACACTGTTCATGCATTGAGGAGGAGAAATTATCATCTGTCCTTCCAGATTCTTCTGGCTGTTCTAAGAATTAAATTGACCTGAGTCAGATTAACAGGAGAAAATCAAATTTAATTACATATACATAGGAAAATCACATAAACGTGAGAGCTTCCAAAAACAGGCAAAAGGAGGTATACATCTCATTCTGGACTGAGGAGAAGAGGGTCGGTATCTGGGGCTTTAAAGGAAGGAAGGCAAGGGGCGCCTGGGTGGCTCAGTCAATTAAGCATCCAACTTTGGCTCAGGTCATGGTCTCACGGTTTGTGAGTCTGACCCCGTGTCAGGCTCTGTGCTGACAGCTCGGAGCCTGGAGCCTGCTTTGGATTCTGTGTCTCTCACTCTCTCTCTGCCTCTCCCCGACTTGTGCTCTATCTCTCTCTGTCTCTCAAAAATAAATAAATGTAAAAAAAAAAAAGTAATAAAAAGGAAGAAAGGCAATTCATAGGGAAAACAGAAAGAATAAATATTTGGTAAACAAATGTTTGCTGGGGCCACTCAGAAACAGTGAGACAAAGAGAACTTTGATGCCACAGGTCTGGCAGGTGCCGCCCTGCCCACCATCCCCGATCATATCATGTTGTAGTTCTCTCTGGCGACAGCTCTCTTCCTGGAACAGGTCCTCCAGATCAATTCTTTTGGGCAGTCATGGGGGGGCGGGGCAAGGAAGAAAAACTTCTTGAGTCTTCCATTTTATAAAAAATAGCCTAAACTAATCCACATCCCAACGGGACATGTCTCAGGCTGGCGCATTTTGCTTTCCTATAGTGGCATCGTGATTCCTTCCACCTCCCTTAGTTATAAGCTCAAATTTTATGTTTTGTATTGTGGTAAAATATGCATGCCGTACAATCTACCATCTTAACTGTTTGAAAATGTACACTTCAGTGACATTGAGCGCACACACGTTTTTGTGCTACCCTCCCCACTACCGAGCTCCAGAATGCAATTCTCACCCCAAAAGTAAACCCTTACCCACTAAGCAGCCCATCCCCGTCCTTTGTCCCCCTCAGGACGTATTGACCACTAATCTGTTTTCTGGCTCTATGGATCTATATATTCTGGCTCGTTCATGTAAATGAAATCATACAGTCTCTGCCCTTTTGTGTCTGGCTTCTCTCACTTAGCCTAGTGTTCTAATTCTTCATGGATAGGTCACTTTGTTCATTCACTAATCAACTGAGGGACATTTGTACTAGGTCTACCTTTTGGCTATTGTGAGTAACGCTGCTCCGAACACTGATCCACAAGTTTTTATTTAAGAAAAATTAGAACTGTAACTGCTTTAATGCCCGTCGTCACCTTCTACGCTAATACCAGGCGCCGTGAGTGTGGCGTTTGGAGTTGCTAGGCTCAGCTCGCCTCTCCAGACTCTGCTCTCAGTACTCCTCCTTTGGCGCAGGGTTTCCCTCCCCACTCTCACGCACACCCCACGACCAAGGCTGACACGTGCCCCTGGGACTTTGCCCTTGCTTTGCCACTGTCCAGAATGCCCTCACCTGCCTCTTGAGCCCCTACTCACTCTCTGGCCCCTTCAACAAGCCCTTCAGGCCTCACCTCCTGCCAGAAGGCTTCATTCCTCGCTCCAGCTCATCCATCCCCTGCATACGTTAGTCCCTTAGCTCCTGACATTCTCTCACACCCGAGTCTGTGGGTTTAGGTCTCTCTGCTACCCCACGAGCGCCAGGGCAGCAGAGGCAACGTCTGATTCATCTGCGAATGTCAGCAGAGGGTCTGGCCATTGCAGTAGATACCCCTTGAAAGTTTTTGAAATGAATCTATTAAATGAATGAATAATCTGAGTTCTGTGGGCAAGAGGAAATGTGAGTTCTTTACAGCTGTTTAATCCTGTCTTAAGCAGCATTGCATTTCATTTCCTCCATGCCTCCTACCTCAGCCAATTAATCCTTCATGCTCACCTTCTAGAAAACCCCTATAGAAAGAGACCAAGACCTAGCAAAGAACAATGGCTATGGTCAGGAAAGATAAGGACTATATATTGCACTTTCATCCTTATCTGTGCAGATCCATAGCAATTCACTTTGCTGATTGCCTAATAGAGACCAAAATAGACTCAGATACGTATGGGAAGACTCAGCTCTGGTGCCACTCCATGTCCCAGATGCCAGCCGGCCGCGCGGCCTACAGTGACATATTTATTTTGACTCCGTAATTTAAAATATGCAGTGCAGTAGGTTATAAAGTGATTTTATTTTTCCTTTCCCACGTGGATTAAAATATATGCAAAGTGCATTCAATCCATCATCGGCCCTTCATTGGCCATGCTAATAAGGGACAAAACTGTATATTTTATTTCAAGCGGAAAACCCTGCCCATGTTCTCATCCAACCAAATTATATGCTTTAGACAGGATAGAGCACAAGTGCCACTTTTTTTGAGAAGTGTTTCCAGCCATTCCAGGCTAATTTTAATGCCCGTTTCTCTGCCCTCAGTGCCTTTCACGTTTCTCTCCCCTAGCACCCGCCCTGTCCTATCCTCATATGTGTCACAAGTTTCACGATGGCAGAGGCCATGTTTTATGTGCAGCGATCAGCACACAGTCTTACGCACAGACATCTCTCCATAAATATTTGTTGAATGAATGGCATACCCATTTCATCAAGTTTGATGAAGATCCGATTTTACTAGACAATAATGTAACAAGTCAAGTAGATAGTAATGAGTACTAAGCTTAATGCACCTTGCAGAACAATAACTCAAGAGGCCAGAGAGACATTCTGCTGTTAAAGTTTTGATGAATAAGGTTTTGATCACCATTAGCACAGCTTCGGGTGGGGTTGCAGAAGGGCTGACTTGTCAAGATGCGATATAGAATCCCATGGAGAGGAATCTTGAGCACTTTGCAGCTTTTTTGAAATGATGCTTGTCATAAAATCATTTCTCATAGTTAAATAACAATTTTAACTCTTAAATAACAGGCAGCGTATTTCTCTCTTTTTTAATTTTTGCAGTACTTTGTGATTAAAGCAGCCCTGTAATCACAACTGACAGGATCAAAACGAAATGTTTTTCAAAGCCATCCTCTCAGGAGTCCGCCTAGAATTAGTAAGGAAAATAAGAGAAACCATTGCCCAATTTGAATGACCTCTGCCAGGCACCTTATGTATTACAGAACCCAGAACGTGTGTCTACATGGTGGACGATAATTAACAATATATTGGCTTTTTATAGGATTCTTCTGGTACGTAAAGTTCAGGGTAATTTTGCATGTTGCATCTATTTCAAAAGTGTCACTGAGTAATTGCAACAGCAAGTGTGATTCTCCCCACTCTAAGCTCCCTTTGTACCCTGTACCATTTTAATCACTGCACTGTACTTTCCAGGTTATGATAAAACTATCTGTTTATATATCACTTCTCTTCACTAGACCAAAAAACCCCCCAGCGCAGGCATGGTGTGTATACATTTCTCTCTGTCCCAGTACCTTGGACATATACCTGTGTATATTTTGACAAAAGATCCAGGCAAAGCAAGCAGTGGTCGTGCGGCCAATGTTAGAATCCACTAAGTTGAGTGATCTTCACAGGTACTCAGAACAACTACCCAGAATCTGGAATGCGCTCCAGAGAGACCATTTCTACCATATTAAAGGGTAGGTTTTGATGGGTTCTCAACCTGTCTCTTTTCCAAGTGGAAAGCCATCCCTTCAGTGATGACTGCTGAAGTCATGACATAGGAAGATTTGTCACATTTGTCTTCTATGGAAGACGTGACATAAGAAGATTATTCCAAAGATGCTCAACTAGTACTCTCTCAGGGGAACCGCTGGCACATGCAAATAAAGGGAGTAAATAAATAGCATGTGTAAGTATCTGAGTTGCACACCTTCAAAGGATATCTTCCCAAATACCCTCCCATTTTGACTTACCACTTTCTTGAAGCCATCACCCCATGTCAGGTTGTTTATCAGTCATTTATCAGGTTATTTCCTGCCTAGGAAATGAGACACAGGTATGTTTTGATAGGGACTTCAGAGATGCAGAGAGAGGTGACTGCAGATTAATCACTAGTATGGGGAGCTTGAGGAGGAGGAAGGCCCCGAATCACTGGCACACGGAAACTGAGACATGTTCGTAAGGTTCCACCAAGAGACTCAATAAGTCTGAGGCAACCAGCAATGGATTTCAGAGAGATAGGACGTTGCATTAATATCAGCTAAAATCCAGCAGTTGCTGTATTCTAAGTGGCTAAATTAAATGGCAGTATTATTTTGGGAGGGAACGAGCATTATGTCTAATTTGATAGAATCTTCTGATTGGTCATAAATTTTGAATTCACATCATGATCGTTTTCATAATACACTTATAATTCAGTGAAACGAACCAAGAAAGTATCATAAACTCAGAAATTACAGGGACTGCACACATTGCCAGTAAATAGAATGCAAAAATTGTTAAATAGAAGCTTTAAAAAGCTGTTATAGTCATAAGATGCCTGCTTACTTAGAAGGGGCTGAAGGAATACTCTTGTTCTAAGATTCTTCGGGATATGAGCAGAAGATGAGAAGTTATTTTCCAATCGTCTCCAACTCCAGGGAGTTGGTTGTCAGTGAAACTAAGAATTATGAAATAGCTAGAATAGTGGGTAGGGGGAAAACACCGCTGAAGGCAATTATTTGATAATATTCTCATCATAAGGGCACCTGGGTGGCTCAGTCGGTTAAGCATCTGACTTTGGCTCAGATCATGATCTCACGGTTTGTGGGTTCGAGCCCCGTGTCAGGCTCTGTGCTGACAGCTCAGAGCCTAGAGCCTGTTTTGGATTCTGTGTGTTCCTCTCTCTCTGACCCTCCCCTGCTCACGCTGTCTCTCTCTCTCAGAAATAAATAAAAACATTAAAAAATTTAAAAAAATATTTTCATCATAAACTTAAATTCGAGAGGCTTTTTTTTTTTTTTTTTGGTCATCTTAACTGTCAAAATATTTGGCAGAGAAACAAAAGAATTCCAGAAGTTTTAATTTCTATTGTTTCGCCTTCCATGAAAAGTGCCTATGACTATGATCTGCTGTCGGTTTTAAAGCTCATTTTTGCAAAAGCAAACCTTCTAAGTTTGGCCTGGGTTACTTATTTGTGCCTTTGCTCTTTTGAGAGTTATTCCTATATAAAGGAAGATCCAAAATTCTCTTTCTCAGCTTTGCAGCATGAATTAGTTTTACTGAAGCACATCATATTTACACATTAACTTCACAACATTATGATGTGAAACTGTTTGCTAATTCTCACTTATCAATAACAATATATCCTTTGCTTTGTTCTTAAATATAATATGTCACATTTACATAGCATTTCAGTGTTATTTATTCCACTCGCTTTCGCTTCTGGAATTCAGATCTGTTACTGAAGCCAGGCACCGATTCCATATAAATCATCTTTGGTTTCTAGGAAACGTATGACTATTAACTGTATTCAGTCCTTTCCATCATGAGAGGAGGACAAAATTCAAAATTCACATCTAAGTCCACAGAGTATTGACTCATTCTCCCTGTGTGATGCTCCTCAGGAGCTCTGGCATCGCCGTGGTGAGCATTTTGGCTCGTGCTGATGTGTGCACAGCCGTCAGAGAAAGGAGAGGTTGGCATGGGCCTGAGTGGGCATAAACATCCCATGGAGCAGGATCGACATCATCAAGGCCAGGAAGGACACAGAGCGTTTCAGTAAACAAAATGGGGAGAATTAAAGGTTAGAGTTCTTAAAGTCCACAAGGTTCTACGTCAGACAGCTCCCGCCAGCCTCTTGCTCACTCGGGGCCAGCCACTGTCCCTGGACAGAGCGTGTGAATGTGCCTGTCCTCGCATCTAGAAATGCTTTCCTGTTCATCTGGACAGCTCACTGCATGGGACTCATCGTCAATGTTACTTCCTCAAAGAAGACTTCTCTTAAGAGTGTTAGTTCCGAAATTACAGTCTCAAAACGTGTCATTCTTCAGAAATAGCATAATACATCTTATTATTATATATTTATCCCAGTGATAATTTGTTTACCACATATTCTCATTCAGCCAAACCCTCTGTAAGATCAAGGATTATGTGTGTTGCATTCACTTGTGTTCATTATTTAGAGCTCCCAAAATAGTGCCTGGAATATTGGAGGCATTCAATATGTTTTTTTAATGAATAAATGGGACAAAAGAAAGCTATTAAGAGGGCAGCGATGGACCACGTCAGTCTTACCAAATACGTTACAGTGTCAAAGACAGATTGACCATACAGTTCAAGCAGGCCGACTTTGATAGAGAAAGATTCTTGCTCTGCAGTGTGCTAACTGTATGGCTGTGCTGACTCTTGTCTGAGCTTCAATTTCCTCATAGGTATAAGGGGCATTGTAACCCTACCCTGTAGGTTTGTTCTATGTATTGAAGGAAACCATGGCTATGAAATACCTAGTACATTGCCTGGCATACAGTAAAGGTTTTATTAATCACATAGTGATACATTTGCACTACTTGTTAATAATGATACTTTGAGATAGTTACATTTAAAATGCGATCCAGCACACCCAAATGATATAGTAAGCATTTATTGCTCATGTGAAAATAATCCTTTTCAAAACTCAGAAAGCCTAGATTGCTTGCTTGGCTAGTATGTGGTAGAAAGACTGGAAACAGCAAGGGGGGTGTGTGTGTGTGTGTGTGTGTGTGTGTGTGTGTGTGTACATGCATGCACACAGGCACACATGAGGGAGATCCTTAAAAAAATGAATCACCGGAATCTCTGGAGAAAATATAAACATTGAAAGATTGCGTCCTGTCAGCCACTTGTGAGATCTCTGTCTCAAGGTTCTTAGTCAAGAGGATCTCTTAGAGTAGTAGCCGTCCCAGTTCCTCACCCTTTATATGTTAAGGAGACCCCTTTGTTGGGTCCACCTTTCTCACAAAAAGCTACTTTTAGATAGAGCAATAATTACTGTCTAGCATTTTTTATGTAATTTAATGAGAGAATAACATCCATTTAAATCAACTAATTTTCTTCGTTGCTTTTAGTCAGTGGAGTTGCATCATATTTTGTTCAGAATAAATGTACAATAAAGTTTTTCCTATTTGAACAATTTTTCAGTAAACACAGTAAATTTAAAACCACTGAGGTGGTAGATGTTGATGTGATTGGTAACTTCATAGGAGTTACCAATATATCAAGAAAATGCTACAGGCTTAAAAATATTTACCCACATTTGTAAGTTTTACAGACAATGTTCATCCAAATCTACAAGTACTTTGGGATCTTAAATTAGTATTAAGATGAATGGGGAAAATATTTCTAAAATTTAAAATAGTTTATTTAAAGTAGCTTATTGTCCAAATCCTAGATCTGGCTGCTCCTTGACAGAAACATTAATTTTTCATATTTTGAGCAAAAGTGACTATTCACCAATATGGAATATCTTACATTTTAAACGTTTGATTTATCTCAAATTTGGCTTTTTGAAGAAGCGGCTGCAAAACGTTCTCAGACCTTCAGTTTCTTCTTCACTCACACTTCGCCCTGAATAAAGCCATATCACCTTGAACTCTGGATCACAATGGCGTTACCATTTTTGAATTTGCTTCCTCAGTGCAAAGCATCTTTGTTATTAAGACAACGGTCAGTGAAACTTGATTAAGATGAAAACTTTGAAATATAAAACAAAGAGGAGTTACCAAATGAGCAATAATGTGGTAAAAATATGTATATAATCACAGATCACAAATGAGGAATACAACGATGATTTCAGTGACTAAGTCTGAAGATGGAGACCAAATGTAGTTCTTTTTTATATTATTATTTTATACTCTTCATCCAGATTGATACACACTCAGGCAAAATTCTTGAACATATATGTATCAGTAGTGATACAGTGCTCATTGTCTGCTAGCCTTTCACTAAACTCATGTGAAGCACTCTAGTGAAGTGTGGAAATGGAGAGGTTTAGAAATCAACAAGGAGAAAATATGATTTATTAAAAATGTACACCAAACATTATTTATAAAGTGGTGCAATGCCACATATCTATCTAAAACTTAACTATACTTGAAAATACCTAGAGATCTTAGCAAGCTCCCTGAATTAAGTACAGATTATAAAATCTATCTTACTGCTTCCTGAGCAGTATATTTTCTATGTTTTTATTCTGTATATAGAGAAGAATTTTTTTTTTCTCTTCCCGGTTTGAAATTCCAGGGAGTGCACGCTCAGAGAGAATTTAGTATCTACTCTTGTGACAAAGTTTTAATTTCTAGATACTAAGCTGGTCAAGCTCATCAGGTCACATATACTTTGATAGTGCCTCTGTTCTTGAAATTAGAGCCCTGCTAACCACTCGATATATTCCAAAGTTCTCAACAGTATGCATTGATCCTGTTAATACAGACATTTCTTGATGCTACCGTTCACTAAACTAAAACTGAGATCTTAGAACTGTGGGTAAAGAGATCCAGGAGGGACGCCTTGGTGGCTTAGTCGGTTAAGCGTCCGACTTTCGCTTAGGTCATGATCTCGCGGTTTGTGGGTTCGAGCCCCGCGTCGGGCTCTGTGCTGACTGCCAGCTCGGAGCCTGGAGCCTGTTTCAGTCTGTGGCTCCCTCTCTCTCTGACCCTCCCCTGCTCACGCTGTCTCTGTCTCTCCTAGAATAAATTTTAAAAAATTTTAAATTTAAAAAAATTTAAAAAAATAGAGATCCAGGAAATGATAAGAAAAGACAAAGAGGTATGTGTTGTAATTATTAAAAAATACAATGACAGAATTTGTGGAAGGTCCAACAGCATACCCTTGTTTATGCCGTATGCCCAAAGCCGCCATTTGCAAACCTCACTGAAGCTGTGCAGGCTGTTCATTACTTGCCTCCTTCGTACGGCTGGGACCATTTCTTCTGTTATTCTGGTCTCCACGTGGGAAAGCCACGGACCTACAGTCCCTGTTCTACTGCTGGGACCTTGGTGTATCTGTGCGTTGGGTTTACGGTCAGACTAGAAATAAGTTTTCAAATCCAGATGTTCCCTGTGACTCAAGTAAACGATGGCTATTTTTCCCATTAAGCAAGAGTTTGTTGCACCAAGTCTAAAAATGTCTGATATCACAAAGAAGGGTAAAGACTGATTTCTAAGGTCCAAAAGAATAATCTGACAGAGAACTGTATTTTCAAGAAATACATTTTAGCATATACAATTCTATTGGTCAGTAAAATACCTCTGTTTTAAAAACAGAAGTGTCAGAGGGCAAAAATTAAAACAACAATTCTAGGCCACATAAAATATATAGAAATTACAATGAACAATTAAAGATCTCTATGAAAGATTAAATTATTTTAAACCATTACTGAGAAAAGTAAGAGAAGACTTGAATAAAGTCCAGGAGAGAAAGACTGTTTTTAAATGACAGCTCTCCCCAGTTTAATTTATAGGTTAAACACGAGCTTGTGAGTTATTTCAGGGTTTCCTCCCTCTTTTTCTTGTTTTTAATTGAAAGATCATAGAACGTCTAGAAATATTGTTTCTAAGTAACAGATAAGAATTTCCTGCCCTTCTAGATACTAAACCATAGTGTAAAGTTACACTAATAAAAATCATCACATCACATGGTTAAAATTTTCAAAAAAAAAGTTATAACTTTACACATATGAATGAATTTCTGACCACTGGGTTTAGAATAACTGTTTTAAGTACACAAAATGGAAGATAAAATGGACACAAGTGGAAAATAAGAACAACATGAAATACTGACCAATTTGGCAACATACATATTTTTAAATGTCTTTAAAAGTGACCATAAATAAAATTAAAAGTCCAGAGAAATATAGTAATGTTTGCGTAAGTTAGTATGTGTGTTGGTTAATGTGCAGAATCTGTTGCAAACAACACCAAAAACTTTTTTCACATCATTAAGAACTTATGAATACTCAAAAGAAGAACTGCCAATGTGCGTCAGTAGTTAATCCACGGAAAAAATGCAAATAGCCAATTAGGTTATAAAACATTCAGCCTCACTAGTAATCAAAGTAAGGTTTTCATAGTCATAATGAGGTTTCATTTTTGTCCATCAAATTGGCAAAGATTAAAAATTTAATTCAGCTTTTGCAAGAATTAGAGAAAATGAGCACTCTATATATGTCTGATAAGAATGTAAATTTGGTGAAGAATGTAGAGCAATGTATTTCCATTTCTATCCTCGTTTCCATTTGTGGATAAATATTTGAGGGGGGCAGGGTCTTAACAGTTTTCATAGTCTATGACCCAGTATTTCTACTTTTTGGAATTAAGCTGTAGGGAGTAACCAGAAATGTAAACAAAGAATTATGGAAAACAGAGCTTGTCAACCATATTATTAATTTACCCAAAATGGAAATCAACATAAATGTTCAATACTGGCTCATAATATCAGATTTCTACACAGTGAAATACTCATTAAAATATTTTCAGGGACGGGGCACCTGGGTGGCTTAGTCGGTTAAGCGTCTGACTTTCGCTTAGGTCATGATCTCGCAGTTCGTGGGTTCGAGCTCTGCATCGGGCTCTGTGCTGACAGCCAGCTCGGAGCCTGGAGCCTATTTCAGAGTCTGTATCTCCCTCTCTCTCTGACCCTCCCCTGCTCACGCTGTCTCTTTCTCTCTCCTAGAAATAAATAAAAATTTAAAAAAAATTAAAAAAAAATAATTTCAGGGATGTCTGGTTGGCTCAGTTGGTTAAACTTCCGACTCTCGATTTTGACTTAGGTCATGAGCTCATGGTCATGGGATCAAGCCCCATGTTGGGTTCTGGGCTGTGCATGGAGCCTGTTTAAGATCCTCTTTCCCTCTCTCTGCTGTTCCCCCACTCACAAGCATGTGTACACATACACACTCCCCCCCAAAATAAAATATAATAATAATAAAGATAATAAGTCCAAACATGATAAATTGTTCATGGTGTTATATAACAAAGTCAAGCTACTGTATTTTATATATATTAGGATAATAGTTTTATAAACATTATAAAATAAAAATAACAAGATTCTATACCTACTTGTTAATAATAATTGTTGGAGCTCCTGGGTGGCTTAGTCAGTTAAGCGTCCGACTTCAGCTCAGGTCATGATCTCGCAGCTTGTGGGTTCGAGCCCCACGTTGGGCTCTGCTGACAGCTCAGAGCCTGGAGCTGCTTCAGATTCTGTGTCTCCCTCTCTCTCTGCCCCTCCCCTGCTCACACTCTATTGCTCTCAAAAAATAAATAAACGCTAAAAGTTTAAACATAAAAACTAAAATAATAATAATTATTGTTACAAAGTTTGTGTGATTTTCATTTTCCTTTTTATACTTTTAGGTGATTAAAAAACAGATTTTCATACTGGATAAAATATTTTTTTACAAGAAACTCAACATCACATTACCTGGTCTCAGTGCTTATTTAAAGGCACTGTAATCCAGAGAGTATGGTATTAACATAAGGATAAACATCTAGGTAGATGGAAGACAGAAATGAGAAAATAGATCCACATATGCATGGTTAATTGGTTTTCAGTAATAATTGTACAGTAATTCCTCCAGCCTTACCCTTAGTCTCCACAACTCGCTTGTCAGACCTCTCTTTTATTGTTCTTTTGGAGGTCTGAAACTGCTCACTACCCAGTCTCCCAGACCCCGGACGGTTGCCTACATCAGTGTCGGAGGAGCATCTGACACACAGATCGACCATCACTGTCTTACTCAGCGTCCCCGGTCAGCGCCTCATCGACTGGCCCTGAGTGTGGTGAAGGCAGTAGAGCTGCAGATGCAACTCTTCACGATGTGATCTTCCCCTTTCTCCAGCCTCCACTCCCAGCCTCACCCCTCCAACACCCTGCCCTACAGAACTAGTAATTTACACACTGATACATGCTCTTCCCAAAGCTGCCTTTAGCCTGAGAAACCTCCCTCCTCTCTGTCCTGGCTGAAATCATTCCGGCTCTTCATTTTCAAATATTTTCTCCTCCAGAAGATCTTCTCTGACTAAACAAAACCATGTAAATTTGCCCTTTCTTGGCGTTTGTGTAGCTTGCTGTGCACAATGTTATCATGGAGTTTATGACCCCATGTTAACATTATCCATTTTCACATTTGTCTGCACCACTGGGTAATGAATGCCTTGACATTAGGAACAAAGTATTTGTCATTGGTATAACCTCATCTCCCAGCAAAATATATGAGGCAAGTTTATATCGAATGAATAAAGTAGGATATGGCGTTCTTTCCACCATTTCCAAGTTTGTTTGGCAAAATTGAGGCTTGTGCACCCATTTTCTCCATATTGTCTGTTTTTTTTTCAACATTTTGGGATACACCATGATGGTATTTTCTTATATCGCCCAAAGTGTATCCAAATAAATCCTCTGGTAATGTGCAATTTCCAAGAGAGGTCATGACCTAGTATAGGGGTGTGTGTGTGTGTGTGTGTGTGTGTGTGTGTGTGAGAATTTCATGTCAGAAGATCTATTCTTACTCCAGGTCTGTGAATAACGAGCTAAGTGAGAACTTGTGATAGTTTCTCTTCTGTTTCACTGTTCTCACGAACTAAGGGATCATCTCTGACATGTACTCTAATTCCAAAGTGTGGTCATCCCTCTGTACCTCCTGGTTACAAAATCTAACATTCCGTAAGACATAGTTTTAATTTTCTCTGTTTTTGTTTTGTTTTGTTTTGCCGCCTTTGTCACTCCAGAGTCTTTCTAGAATTCCCAGCCACCTAAGATATAAAACCCAATAATTTACTCGTTGTTGGCTTTCTACATTCTAGTCCCTTCTCTCCGCAGGGCTCTAACACGCTGTTGCTAAATCATTCTTCATGCCAGTCTCGAGGCTGCGCGCTCTGCGCCAGGTCCAACACCACCTTGCGACCGTTGCCGTCCACATGCCGCGCGGGACCCGCTGTCCCCCTCCTGCCCCCTCTCCTCCTCACCCCCTGCCCGCTTCTCTTGCGGAACCCCACTCCCGTCAGGCGGCCCTTTGCCCACGCTGCCCAGCTCCCCACTTTGACCTCCTTCTGTTCCATGAGGTAGGGGTTCCCTTCACACACCTGCCCTCGGTTAACCCCGTCTCGGCCCGCATCTCCCCGACTCGCGAGGACCCCCTTCTGCCCAGTGCACCGCGGGATGAGCGGCCTGGCTAATCCTCATGTTCTCTCAAGCCTGTGACGCAAGATGCAGCCCTTCGAAGCATAAAACTGGTTAGACTAAAAAATGAAGAAATTAGGAAGCCGCCGGGGCCTCAGTGTCGGCTCCCTCCGCGAGGCGTGGGCGCTGCCCCGGACGGCCGCCCGGGGGCCACGCGGGAGGCGCCCGGCTGTCAGCTGTGTCGAGATGCCGCAGGTGGGGTCCTCCCGTGCCTGCGCCGCCCACTAAACGTCCTGACTGACGTGGATGATCTGTATTCCCTGGTCAAAATATGTGCACATTCCAGGTCTCTGATACTTTCACAAGAACCTAAAAAAAAAAAAAAAAAAAAAAAAATCAGTGAATACAAACTCTTTGGGGTTTGGTCCTAGTCACTG